AAAGGCTGCTGATTCGAGAACTACTCGGTTAGAGATCAAAGTAGTAGAGCCGTTGTCTGTAACTAGTGATGATGCATACCACTGGTCATGAGACTGAATTTGCAAAAGAAGATCAATACCGAATACCCGAACATTGGTTTTCTATGCCATATTCGGGAGTTTCTCGAGTTGGCAAAATAAGAGATTTCGCAGTGCCATCAGACGGAGCCTTATGTTTCATGCAGAGACTATGCATTCTGAGGTGTTGAACTGTGACACAAGAGAGTGTAGTGGAGTTGGACCGACTGCATGGGGTATCGTGTCGTTCATCTCCAGCAGAGACGCACAGTTCTTGACGTGATCATGGGCGAGTTTTCATACGTGACCCGGGCACGAGACTAAAGCTTGGCCCCACGTATCAGCCTAGATGGTTGGACAGTCGGAGCATGCTGAAATACACTGAAAGATTGGTTGGATTCTTGTGTGTTGTTAGATGCGTTGCGAAGTGTTTGTTATGGAATGAGTCCTAAACAATAGGGGGTGCACCTAAGTGTAGACCAGACCAGACTGGGTCCCGCGCAAGAGGGTGTACACATGAGCATGGATTAAGTTGGGTTGATCTCTTATGCAAGAGGGTGTGCGCATGAGCATAAGGCGAGTCGGATTTGGGTCCAATACAAGGGGGTGTACTCTTGAGTATAGTACAGTATGGCTTAGGAGAGTGGGGTGGAGTTTCGGAGGAGATGTCCAAAATTCGTGGATTTGAACCTCTCTCTTGTAGCTATTGTTCCATTCTATTCCCTTGAACTTTTGTATTTTTTAGAACAGAAATCTTTAAAGGAGTGTAGATTGTAGCGCCCCTTTCGATTTATATGAATTCTTGTATTATTATACTTTTATTTGACTGAATAGTCAACAGGTTAGCTGGTGGAGATGTAATTTCCCATCATTAGGCTATAATTCGTCTTTATTTTATTGCCTTTTGGTCGGCCTACTAGTCCAACTCGGGTAAATATTTATTCCTTGGTCTTAACCTCGCTTCCTCTTGTGGCTCGATTCTTTTCTGTTTGACAGTCAGTCTGTAGTAGACATGGCCACGGGCCGAACCGGCCCGGGCCCGGCCCGAACTCGGCCCGGCCCGAACTGGACCCGGACCGGAAAAGCCGGTTTTCGAACCGGAACCGGACATCTAGAGGGTCGGTCCCGGGGCTTTTCGGTCAAAAAAACCCGGCGGGCCGGGCCGGGTCCGGTCCGGGTTCTGGGTTTTTGAGCCAACGAGGAAGAAGAAGAATATGTGGGGCCCGGCCCGGAACCGACTCGACCCGCCGGGTTTGCGACCCGGCGGTTAAGGGCCGGTTCAGTGAACCGGCCCTTAGTTACAAGCGGGCCGGGCCCGGTTCACTACACGGTGAACCGCCGACCCGGCGGGCCGGACCGGGTTTCGACCCGGCCCGGCAAATGGACACGTCTAGTCTGTAGACTCAGCTCAACTTACTGGATGCAGATTATCTTTTTCTCTCCGTTGTAGGCCAGCTATTCAACTCATGGGTCATCAATATGTTCTTTGGATGTAATGGAATGGTATATGTATAAATCATAATCAAAACACATAAACTTAGAAGCATATGAATTAGAAAACTTATAATTGGTTGACAAGACTTGTGTAATAAACAAATATTATTATCAAACTATCATTTAGAAAAATTGTGTATTACATGCATGTGTGTTTTTCAATATAGTTTTTTATTTATTATTTTTTTCGAAACGACAGATTTATTAAATAAAACACATAATTACAACAGGCTAAGTAGCCGAAATAGGAAGACTACCCAAGGTAGCCTATAAACCACAACACACACAACAGCACAAAAAGAAAAATAAAACTTTCCCACTGGAGAATACACAAACTCCCACGGGAGAATAACACGCTCCTCCATCCAAAGAGGATAAAACAAAACACAACTCACAAAACAACACTACAAACCACAAACAACACACAAACAAAAATGAAAACAAACAACAAAAGCACAGAAGAACTAAAAGTCCTCCACAACCGCATTAGACAACCAAGCCGCGCGCACGAACGGACCCAATAAGTGAAAAGAAACTTGACTCAATCCAGATCTAGAAACTACAATCTGCAAACGAGGCATAATTAAACCCGGGCAAGCCAGGCCTCCTCCTACCGGAAGCCCGCTGACCTCACCCTGAATTCCGGCCGAATAGATCCCTGATGCAGACCCTAGTAACTGATGCAGACCCTAGTAAGATATTGTCCGCTTTGGGCTACTTCCGCCACCCGCACGGCTTTGTTCTTGGCTGGGCTTCAATACACACCCACCAAAACGCGTCTTACTAGTGAAGGTATCCATATCCTCATATAAGGCCTGCTTCGTTTCCTTTCAAACCCGATGTGGGATGCACTGCATCATCCACCCCCCCTTGTGGGCCCAGCGGTCACCGCTGGCACATGGGCTGGCTCTGATACCAACTGATGCAGACCCTAGTAAGATATTGTCCGCTTTGGGCTACTTCCGCCACCCGCACAGCTTTGTTCTTGGTTGGGCTTCAATACACACCCACCAAAACGCGTCTTACTAGTGAAGGTATCTACATCCTTATATAAGGCCTGCTTCGTTTCCTTCCTACTAGGGTCTGCATCAATCCCCCAACAACAAACCGACCAGGAGCAGTCAGAAGTCTCCCACCGGCATCCCAATGCCCCCACCGTTGAACCACCCGCCCCAACACTAGGAGCCGGGATGGTCCAGGGTATTTACACCGCCGCGAATCTCAACCGTCGTCTGCCCAAGGACAGCGAAACGGCGACAACGACCACGAGTCACCCACCCACGCTGAGACCCCGTCGAAGAACCGCCAACGCCACCAGGACGGAGAAGCGCCCTGCCGGTTTGCGAGGGACGTTGGGGAAAGAAACTCGTCGATCCCCCAGTAAAGTCATTGCCGCGGCAGGCTGGCGACGGCGAAATTGACGAGAGAAGCTATAGGGTTAACTAATTGGTTTTAGTTTTAGAGAGAATTTTAAAGAATTTTTTTTTTTGCGATGAGATAGCCTCTATAGATAAAAATGTTTCTAAATATAGTGGATAATACAAGAAATGTTAAAAATTGGAAATAAATTTTCTTATATATCTATATTCTTAGAACTTGTTTTAGACATTTATTACGTAAATACTCATCTACTGCAGTAACACTATACTAGATATGATATCCAATCTATATTTAGAGGCTACATAAAGTTATGTTTGAATAAAAAAAAAGGAAGATTCATTTAATCCTCACATATAGCTTTTTCCTAAAAGAAATTATTACAAAAGAGAGAAGATAAAAAAAACACCACCTAAAGATTGACCGACGAAATTCAATTAACAATATGTCACGCGCTTATCTTTCTACCACTCACTATTTTCTTTACTTCGTTCTATACGATCCCATTACAAAATTATTTCGTTGATGTATGTATCTGTTAAATCTACTATGTATCTGTTAAATCTATTATCCACATCGGATATATGATAATATACCGATTATAAATTTTGACGGAAGGATTCCGTAACGAAACTGTAGCATTTTCCCGTGATACAATACCTAACCAAATTTCCTCTTTTTTTTTCTTTTTTTTTTTTGTTGCTTTTTAATACGTGAAAAAAGCCAGGTGGCCAGCAACTGTTTGTTCTAGAAAATGATTACCAATTTAAATACAATGCTATTTTTTAAATAATAATATACCTTATTATAAATTAATCAAATTCTCAGAGCAGTAGAGCACTTGGAATTGGAATTCAACGAACCCCAAAATCAAAATATACGGAAACCCACCAAACTACGGATTTTATATATATTTTTTTTGTTAGATATTTTATTTTTGGCGTAGACTTGAAGTCGAGTTGAAGTCCAAACGTCTGGCTTCGAAAAGTCATTTTTGTTATGCTGCTGCTCTTGCTCAAGAATCAGCGCTTCCAGTTGCAGTATGCTTCAGATGTACGTTCATGTGTGTGTGCATTAATGCTGCCATTTTTAGCTGATTTTGATGTGATGATTAATACCTTGTCAATTTCTTTGTTGACTGGTTTTGTATTCAGTTGAATGCGCTCCGATCTGTGTAGCTGATTTGGTTACCGGGTCCGGTCGGGTTTGCAGAGTGTGCGTCTCTGTTGATGTGGAGGTGTGGATATGCAGAGGTCTACGCGCCCTTTTGCTTTATACTTCTAATTTTTTGAGGTAAGTGGTGAAAATTGTCAAGTGGGGTGGTGTTCTTCGTTTGGTATAGAAAGTTTTGGTAGATTTAGATGATGTGATGAGTGTTGTTCTTCGTGTCGTGTTGAAGGGTGCTCGACTGCTTGAGATCTTAAAATGGGTTCTTTCTTCTTCAGTCATTTGTTTTGAAATTCATTCTCTTGGTGTTCTTTTTGTGAAATTTGGATTTGCCTGTGAATGAGATCTGCTGTTGCTGGTTGGAGTCTATGGTTACTCTCACTGATACTTTAAAGCCAACGAATAATCATTTCTTTCTTAAGATACTGAACGAGTTGATAAATGGGATTTTTTCTCGATTTTGTTTATTTTGGTCACCCCTGATTATATAATGATTCTTGATGTAGGGAGAAGTCCATCGCGAAATATTTTGTTTTCGTCTCGAGTTCTTGACTTTTACTGAATCTGCACTTTTGGTTTTGGGTGCGGGTGGCATAGTGGTTCAGAGGCCTCGAATCTAACGGGCTCGGTGTTATCGAAATTTAACCTTTCCCCTTTTTGTTGTTAGCCGGAAACTCTGGGGAGTAATGAAGCATATGGATGAAAACACAAATACAATGAATGGGGGGTTATTATTAATTTGCATTCTTATTTCTGAACTCAACCTGTAAATCTCATACGCTCCAGAACATCAGATTTCAACCTCTTTTAATTTTAACATTCACTTTATTATGGTTCGAAATTGCAGATATACTGTCAAGACATATAGGTCTGCGTGATCTGCTATGCAGTGTTAATAACCGAAGATGAAGAAATTGTACTGTGGTGTTGTAGCCACTTCATTCTTGATGTTGCTTGTTTTCGGGTATTACGTAATTACAAACCCGATCGATCAAAGCTATTTCACAAGCCCACTGAACGTGAATGGCACAAATCCTCTCGAGTGGATAGGGTCTGGTGAGCCACCTGCATTTGCAAACCCAGAAAATGCATCCCAAGTGATTTCAGTTGATGCTATCGTATCTGATCTTTTTGCTCAAAGGAACCTATCAAAAGAGGAAAAAAGCTCTTTACAGACATGGAACCATTTGAAGTACTTGGTCACCCATGCCCAGGGCTTACCTAATGCTGCTGAAGCTATTAAAGAAGCTGGTGCTGCATGGAATAATTTGATTACCTCAGTCGAGCAGGAAAAACTTCAAACTAATGGAAGTCTGTCCAAGAGAGGGAAAGACAAACAGTGTCCTCATTTCCTTAGTAAAATGAATGCCTCAGAACTTGATGATCATGGGTTTAAGCTGAGGGTTCCCTGTGGGTTGACTCAGGGTTCTTCAATCACGTTGATTGGAATCCCTAACGGTCTTCTTGGTAATTTCCGAATCGACCTGACTGGCGAACCTCTTCCAGGGGAGCCCGATCCTCCAATTATATTGCACTATAATGTTAGATTGCATGGGGATAAAGTGACTGAAGATCCAGTGATTGTTCAAAATACATGGGCAATTGGACATGACTGGGGTGCGGAGGAGCGCTGCCCTTCTCCTGAACCGGAGAAAATTAAAAAAGGTATACGCCGTATACATTTTTCCGTTTTTCCCCCTTTTTTCATGTTGAATGAACGTTCTAGATATGTTCTGCTGTAATGCTGTTGTATGTGTATATGTATATTTAGTAACTTTTTGTCCTGTAAGCTGCTGATTGATAGTCTTCTACATTCTATTCTTGCGTCATTGATATTCAATATTTACTTTCTGTGCGTCAAATTTTCTGTGTTGTGCATATATTGGCCGATGCTACTTGCTGATATTAGTTGATGAGCTGGATCAGTGCAATGGGTTTCTGGGTAAAGAGACTAACCAGGCTGTCAAATCTAATCAACTTGCTAGTGGGAATTCAAGAAAGTACTTTCCATTTAAGCAAAACGACTTATTTGTTGCCACACTCAGAGTAGGCTCGGAAGGGATCCAAATGACTGTGGATGGAAAGCACATAACTTCGTTCGCTTTCCGTGAAGTAATTAATCTCTCTTTCATCCTTTCTCGAGCTTCTCAAATAGAACTTTTAAATTTTTTTTTATTTTTTATTTTTTATTTTTTTTTGGATTTGATTTTATTGATGAAACTGAAAATTGATTTTCGTATTTTATTTGTGCAGACTCTGGAACAATGGCTTGTTAGCGAAGTACGAATTTTGGGGGATATAAATTTAATCTCCGTTGTGGCAAGTGGATTACCGACGTCGGAGGATTCGGAACACATAATCGACTTGGAGTCTCTTAAATCTGTCCCAATAACTCCTAAAAAAGTAATGGATCTTTTTGTTGGAATTTTTTCCACCGCCAACAATTTCAAGCGTAGAATGGCAGTTCGAAGATCGTGGATGCAGTATCCTGAAGTGCGGTCGGGGCAGGTTGCTGTTCGTTTCTTTGTTGGTTTGGTAAGTATTGAAGTAAATATACAAATTTTTTTTTTTTCTCAATATATTTTCTTGTTAAGGGGTATGATTTGACACTTACACTTCTCATATTATCATGCAATAGAAAAGAACTGATAAATCCTCTTGAAAATGCAAAAATTGTGATGAGGTTTGCAATTGCCTTACAAGTATGCTTTCACGAGGGTGCCGTTTACCAGGCAGAACAAACTGCTGTTGTATATTTGCACTTTCTAGAAGAATGGGAATTCTATCTAATTAGAATAAACCTCAAGGGTAGTTTTTGCAATCTATCTTCGATCTTTTAATGTATGCGAATTTCTGGTGGATGATATTCCGACTGATTAATAAGATATTTGGAAGGATATTTTATGGAAGCTACTCATGAAGATGTAGCCACATTGCAAACTGGTGCGATTATTTTGAAGGATTACAAAAATTCCCTTGACATTTTACAAATAAATACTACCTTGAGGAGCCGTATGTAATTCAGTACCTGAATTTCTCTGTACTTACATTACACTACTTCTCAAGGATAGAATTTTGTAATTTTCTCTATAATAATAGATTATGAACATTATAATGGGTTCATTCATGTAAAACTACCATAATTAAATCACAATCTGTATGTAAATCTTGTAGCATAAAAACCAGATGGTGAATGAGGAGCTTTGGAACGAGGCTCGAACATACCAGGACATCCAGCTTATGCCTTTTGTTGACTACTATAGTCTCATTACATGGAAAACAATCGCTATCTGCGTCTTTGGGGTAAAAAAAAAAAAAAAAAATGTAAAAGAAACTCTTATTAATTTTGTCGCTTGTGAAGAATATTCTTGACTACCTCACTGCGGTTTAATCTCTTCCAACAGAACGAGGTTGTCTCGGCTAACTATATAATGAAGACGGATGACGATGCATTCGTCCGTGTGGATGAAATATTGAGTTCTTTACAAAGGATAAATACGAGCCAAGGTTTGCTCTATGGCCTAATAAATACGGATTCACAGCCTCATCGAAGTCCCGACAGCAAGTGGTATATTAGTCCCGAGGTATCTCTTAACACCGATCTTTACAGTTTTTATAATACAGAATGAAGCAGTCTTCATCTTTGTTAAATTTTACCCAAAATTCTCCAGGAGAAATATCTCACAGCTTCAAGTTATAAAAGGAAGAAAAATTTGCAAGTTTAGAACATTTCACCTGTTTTGATTTTACCTATCATTCATTCTTGGTCTGTTCTTGTTCATATTGCTAAAATTCAATAGTCAGTGTGATTATTATTATTAGTAACTCCTCCTGATTCAGTTCACATTGGAATTGTTTTTGTCTGAAGGAATGGCCACATGATGAATATCCACCCTTTGCGCATGGTCCCGGTTATGTCGTGTCAAGTGATATAGCAAGTACAGTGGCCAAAAAACATCGGGAGGGACAATTTAAGGTTAAGTAGGAATGATGCTGATATACTACAGTTACTTCTCAAATATACGAATACTGAGTTATTATTATTTTCGGCAGATATTTAAACTGGAAGATGTTTCCATGGGAATTTGGATTGACGAAATGAAGAAAAGCGGAGTAGAAGTGAAATACGAAAAGGACGAAAGGATTATGAATGTGGGTTGTGAGGACGGTTATGTGGTCGCTCATTACCAAGGCCCGCGAGAGATGCTCTGTTTGTGGCAAAAGATTCAGGAGAAAAAACGAGCCATCTGTTGTGGAGATTAAGTCATATATATGAAACATATTTGGCTATGCTCTCATGTGTGGAGAGTTCAGAGTTGGATATTAATTGCTTTACCAGTAGTTGACATTAGTGTAATAAGATATGGTAAGATTGTAGGGTTTAGGAATTTAGTATACTGTCCATTTTCTGATGAGGGATTTTGAATTTGTACACAGAGAGAGAGAGAGAGAGAGAGAGAGAGAGAGAGAGAGAGAGAGAGAGAGAGAGAGATCCCAGTTGACCAATATTAAAACTCTGACCAATATAAAATTGGCCACCATACATAGATTTTTTCTTTTGCTGAAAGAGATGAACCCACCTGAACTGAGAATTTGTTGACAAATGTCAAAATTTATTATTCAAAATTTCTTTAATCCTCATACCTCAGTAAATGTTATATTTATCATATATAGTTTAAAGAATATAATTGCATAAAATATTTGGTTTTGTAATTGAAATTTTTTTTTATTAAAAACATCTTTATAATTATTTTTGAATTTTCAAATTATCTCTTAAAAACTTTTAGAGACCTCATGTAAATACTTGAGACAAAAAAAAAAAA